ACGGGCCCTAGGGTTCCACGGCGCGCGCGGCACGCACGCCCACGGGCCCTCTCCCTGCCCAGGCTCGGGGCGGACAGCCGTCAGCCAGACGTCAGGGCGCTGCGGGCCTCCCGAGGGCCGCGGCCACCGACTCCCAGCCCCAGGCTAAAGTCACCTCGACAAGAGCGCAGCCATCTTGAGTTCCGGCCTGGACGGAAGTGACGTCCAACGTCGTCGCCGCCTCGGGGGCGGGGCGGGGTTTCTGTCACGTGACAGCAGCTCTTTAAAAGGATCCGAGCTGGTGCCTTGCAGGGCTCTTCGGAGTGGAGTTCCCCGTGCGTCTGGCTTCCCTGCCTGGTGTCCCGGCGGGAGGTTAGGGACGAACGGCGCTGACCCAGACTCCGCAGTCGGCGTCGTACCTGCGAACTTAACTCATTCTGTTTTCGCTCTGCTGGACGTCAGACTCGCCCTGATTCTTCTCCAGCATCTCCGCCGCCGCTCGTCCCCGGGGAGTGGGGGGGGGGGCGCCCAAGGCACCGGGGAAACCGGCTTCGTCCCATTTTAATGAGAAGCTTCTGCAGTGCGAGGAAGGAGCGCGAGGCCTACGCAGACCGCCGTCCCGGGACCGGGGCACCTGCCCTAGCCCCGTGCCCCTCGGTCCCTGGGCTGGAGCCGCCGCCGGCGCTGGACGCCCACGAGCCGCGCACAGCGCTCCTTTGTGCCTTGTCTCAAGCTGTGTGGGTGACACCCACGGCCCGAGGCAGCCGGGCCGGGGGACAACTCGCTTTGATTTCTGTGCACACACGCGGGTGTGTGTGTGTGTGTGTGTGTGTGTGTGTGTGTGTGTTATATATTCTTTTTTACATATATATTCTTTTTAATATATATATTCTTTTTTTTTTTTTTTGAGGGACCCAAACAGCAATCAATTGCACAGCCCTTGTGACTTAAGAAAAAGTGAGTGCGGAAGGAATAGGAAAGTGAAAGTTATTGGGTCTCTCTTGCGGGCAGAGCCCAGGGCAACTTCTATTCTGCAATAGAACATTCCGCGACGTTAATATTCAGATCTCATTTATATTTAGCACTCCTGCACTTCTTTGAGGCTTTAAATAGCACAAATTCACTTACTTCTTCCTCAAATGAAAATAACGTTTTGCATTTCTGTAGTACTTGACAAAGAAAGCGCTTTTATAGACTCTGGGACTGGAAGAGACCTTGTTTTTTTTTTTTTTTTTAAGATTTCATTTATTTATTCATGAAAGAGGAGAGAGAGAGGCAGGCTCCATGCAGGGAGCCCGATGTGGGTCTTGATCCTGGGACTCTAGGATCACTCCCTGGGACAAAGGCAGGCGCTAAACGGCTGGGCCTCCCAGGGAATCCCTGGAAGAGACCCTATTAGAGGCTCTGGTTTTCCATCCAGTGCAGGTATCTCCTCTGCAGCATTGATGGCCACTGGTTTTCAAGACTCTGCTGTAACACATTTGGTAATGGTTACCTCAAAACACAAGTTTCATTAGTGAACAGCCTAATCATTAGAAAGTTGTTTGGTAAAATACAGTTTTCAGGGCTCCTGGGTGGCTGTCTGTTAATTGTCTGCCTTCCGCTCAGGTTACGATCTCAAGGTACTGGGATCTAGCACCTGCATGGGGCTCCCTGCACAGCAGGGAGGCTGCTTCCTCCTCTCCCTCTGACTCTAGTCCCCACTTGTGCTCTCTTTCTCTCTCTCTCACTCACTCTGTCTCAAATAAATAAAATCTTTTTTAAAAAAATACAGTTTTGGGGCACCTGGCTGACTCACTTGGTGGAGCATATGACCCTTGATCTTAGTGTTATGAGTTGGAGGCCCACATTGGATGAAGAGATTATTTACAAATAAAATCTTCAATAAAGTAATAGGTTTTTTAAAAAGTTTATTTACACAGGCAGAGGGAGAAGCAGGCTCCCTCTGGGGAGCCCAAAACAGGACTTGATCCCAGGACCCCGGGATCATGACCTGAGCCAAAGGCAGATGCTCAACCGCTGAGCCACCCAGGCATCCCTAAAATAATAGTTCTCTGCTGTTGAACTTCAGTCATTGATCCTACTTTGGCCTTCTGGCACTTCACATTAACAAGTCTAAACAATGTCTTTTTCACTTAGCTATTTAAATTGTTTCATATATATATAAATTTTTTGCCAGAGTATGTGAAAGTACTTCAGAGAATTCAAAGATACAAACATGTAATTGTCCTCAAGAAACGTATAGCCTTAGCAGGATTAAGTAAAAAAATACAGCAACGAAAGTAGCGATCCCATGAAAGAGGTATAGGTAAAAGGGGTGGGTGGGTGAAAGCAGAAAATGATTATTTGCAGCTGGGGAGGTGGGGTTAGAGAGGTGGATCAAGTCCTGTGTTTAGAGTCCCACAATCCAAACCCAATACTAATCACAGAACCCACCATCTCCTGTGTAAAGTGAAGACAGGTAGTTACCAGGAGCCTGTGGCTTTACAGATGAACCTGCAGTGGTCCCACTGCCAGAACAACAGTGGCCTCTCTCCTCAAATTACCCTTTCGGGTCCATAATTGATAGAAATTAGTCATGCTGAAATTCAAACAAGACATTAAGTCAAGCCCCTTATCACCAGGGTTTATCTCAAAAATAAGCAGGAGGGGAAAAGCAGGAGCTAGCCAAGGCCTGACAACAGAGAAAGGGGGAGAAAGAAGGGAAAGCATTTCAAATGGAGTATGAGAGGTCCCGTGAAAAACGAAATCATTTCAGATAATCTCAGGGAGGGAAACAAAGGAGGCAACAATCAGGAGAGCCTTGGTCTGAATGATTTTTTTTTTTTTTGGCTGGATTTGTCTTAAAACTCAGCTCTGATCATGTAGACACTCCCATTCCTAACCCCATCCATACATCACCCCAAAACCTTCAGGAAATTCTTATCATTAGGATTGAGTTGGACAGTTAGGTGGTGAGGGCTAGGGTCCCCAACAAGAAAATACGGAGTCAGGACAGCTGAAATAGAACAGCACTGACATCCTGTTTTGCAGCTGAGACAGGACCACACTAGCATTCTGCTTTGCAGCCTTTGCAGCACTGACTTCTGTAAAATGTCCTAAAATAAGGCAGTCAACCACGAGGCATTGGTCACATCACGGACAAGGGGCTGTTAAGACACAAGCCCCTGGGTGTCAGCCAAGAAAGACCATCCGCACAGAGACACTAACCTACTACGTAGACACATATGTGACCAACTCATATGGTCACATATGACCCGACTCAGCACACCCTGATGGTTTGGGAGACTTCCACACAAGAGCTCATAAGACCCCTAGACCAGACAACTCCGGGGGCAATCCTCTTGGGCCCCTCTCCCTAGTCGGGAGCTTTATACAACTGCTCAATAAACTCTGCTTTCCTGCCCCCAGCTCGTCGTCTGGCCCACTCTTCATTCTTTGAAGTGGGGCGACCAAGAACCAAGGCCGCTAAGGGAACAAAAATCCTGTAACCCTATGATGTACAGTAAAACCCCCCTCCTTCGTCTACCACTTACTGCCCTTTTCCAACTGGCTTCAATTTTCCTGTACAGATTTGTTTCTAGTGACCCCGTTCAAGCTCCCCCAAGTCAAGTCAAAGTGCAGAGCACAAGATCTGCCTTGAATGTGCTCAGTACTCCACAGACCTCCCCAACACACTTGCACGCGCGCACATGCACACACACGTATCTTCCTATCCTCTTTGTTTTTGCTTTTGATGCTCTGGCTGGATACCTTCACTACCCATTCCTTCTAGACACGACTTCCCTTTCCTCCCTCTGAACTTCATTTATTTTATATTTAGCTATTTATTAAGTAGGCTTCACACCCAGCATGGTGCCCAGTGTGGGGCTTGAACTCACAACCCTGAGATCAAAACCTGAGCTGAGATTGAGAATCAGACGCCTAACCGACTGAGCCACCCAGGCGCCCCAGTTCATTTTCGTTTTTAATCTCTGTTGCAAACCTGACGTTTGTGAAGTCTCGGGCTTATTCAAGCAGATCTGGTGTGTCCATCTCGATGCTCTCAGCACTTCGTTCATCTCTCTGCCACGGCAAGCATCGTGGTTTATTATATTGGGTTATTGGTGGGTTTGTTCTCTGATCCTCCCCCTCTCTGCACACACCCCCGACTAGATTGTAAATTCCTTCAAGGAGAAACTTATTTTTTATTCCTCTTTCTGTTATCCACATACCCATACTTTGCGTGTGGCTGGCACTCAATACGATGTTGTCACCTTGTTCTAAAATGAAATGGGCTTAAACTGCAGCATGAGGCATTGAAACGTTCTCTGATGATGAGGGAAAGGCCCAGGGATTCTTGCATGGATATTTTTCTTTTTCTTTCTTTCTTTCTTTCTTTCTTTCTTTCTTTCTTTCTTTCTTTCTTTCTCTTTCTTTTTCTTTTTTTTTTTTTTGGCCTGGATATTTTCCAATGGAGAAAAGCTCTATCAGGGAAGAAGGGAAGAATCACCCAGGACGTAGGGAGAGGAAAAAAAACAAAAAGGACTCCCAAGTGACCTGGTCATCTCAAGAAGCCTGTAATGCAGCCTATAGTCATCAAAAAAATAAAATAAAATAAGGAATATCCCATTTCCAGGTGTTCTGGGGGAGCCACTCTCTGGGAAGGAAGCTACCAAGGAATCCCTTCTCGTGGCCTTAGGATTCAGGTTCCCCTGGCCATCTATCCCTCAGAGAAGTGTGTTTATGGCCCTTTGCTGTCCCTCTCCTTCATCCCCCCCCCAGCATTCCAGCCCAGGACAGGAGGAGGCCAGCAGACACAAAGCCCTCTGTGTATGGGGTGGTATGTGTCCCCCCCACCCCGCCACCCAGAGGACACAATGCCCCTTCTGCTCCCTGTGCTCTGTCCCCCTCCCCACCACCTCTCAACGGCACATGCCAGGCTGCAATTGGTTACTGGCTCAGGACAGCCCCCTCATCCTGGGGCCCCAGGGGATTTTAAGCAGATTCCAGGAACCCCCCGCTCAGTCCTTGTCCCCCACTCTGCCAACCCCGCAGACGCTCCGGGCCCCAGCCCCTGGTCCAGCTATGGCTCCTGGGGCTCCCTCGTCCAGCTCCAGTCCTGTCCTGGCTGTGCTGCTCTTCTCTTCTTTGGGTAAGTGGAGCCACTCCAGCCTGGGCACCCTGGGGCTCAGGACACCTCTCAGCAGCCTTCTCACTGCCTTCCTTTACTCCCCGATGCACCCAAAGAGCGAGCAGGAGCAGGAAGGTGATACTCTATTCAGAGGAAAAAATCTATATCGTTCAGAGGGAGGCAATAATCAGAGAACTACCCTGAGGTGGGCCTGACTGGGCCCAGGTTGGAAAGCTGTAACATGCCTCCAAAGCCAGGCTGAGGGCCTGGTGGGTTGTCGCATGGTAGGAAACGGGATCAGACTCCTGGGTTCTGGTCCCTACTCGTTCTCTAGTAGTGTGTGAGGTGCTTAACCTTAGTTCCCTAAGTAGAAAAGTCAGGAAACATGATCTAAGGAGTCCAGGGTTTGTGATCCCAACTCCTCAAATCCTTTGTCTCTTTGTGCCTCAGTTTCTCTCTGTGGATCCATTGTCTGTTATGTGGGTGAACGGAGTAGAAGGGAGATTCTAGGACATTCTAAGATCCTGTCCATCTAAAGCTGGCTTCCTTCATAAGTTGACTAACTCCATTCCTTACCCCATGGTAGGTGCTCGGTGAGCAAGACAAGGTCAAAGTATGATTATTAGAACAGATTCTTTGCTTCTCCAAGCTGCCCCCAAACTAGTACAAGAGATGAGCAGTAGGCAAATTGTGGGTGAGAAGAACTGCTCAGAACATCCAAGGTTCTCTGCTGGCAGCTCTTTGAGTCCTAAACCCAGAACCCACACTCTTCTGGGTGCTGTACTGGACTATTCTGGGACACCCAGAGAACATGTTAAAGATAGGGAGTTGAAGAAGGTCATGGTGAGGGACATGGGGGGAGGGAATCTTGGAGAATAAGGAAGAGAGTTCTGTCCCAGAACCTGTCCCACCCATAGAACCATCGAGCAGAACTGAAGAGCAGTGGTTGATATTAGAACAGAAGGAAGAGAAGTTAGGTGCTTTGGGGAGAAGCGAGTCACTCATATCGCATATTGAGGTGGGAGATTTGAGACTGTGGAGCAGGAGTGGGGAGGGTGTTTAGGAGTGAGGGGGGTGAAGGGGTGGCAAAAGCCCCCAACACTGGTCAGACAATGGGTCTCTGTTTGTTTGGTTGCTTCCTCCTCCACCCATAGAACAAAAGGGTCTCCAGTTGCCCCCACCCAGGGCCGGCCCACACACATAATCTCCCTGGAATGGCCTTCCTTGTGTGGGTGAGTCTTGGGAGGGGCGCGGGGCCAGAATGGCCAAGAGGAGGGTGACGGGGGTCAGACCACAGCAGGCTCACCCGCAGACTCATCAGAGCTCTGGGCCCGGGGGTCTTCCTCTGTACCCAGCTTCCCATGAGAGGGGTACGAGGTCCTTCCCACCCTGGCCTCCCAGCCAATAGCAAGCCCTGCGGCAACCAGGGGTTCAGCAGTGAGGACCGCTGAGCCGGCGAAAAACATTCTTTCGTTATTTTCATTTTTCTTTTTCCCGCAAGAAATGTGAGTTTGTGATGCTGTGAAACATTATACGGCTGTTAACAATCAGATTGATTTCTCTGAATCCACATGGGTAGCTACCCCAGCTATGTATATATCTCCTTAAGTGAAAAAACCTGCAGAGAATATGATGCAATGTATGTCAAAAGAAAAGAAAACTCCACAAAACAAAGCTATTTCACAGAAACCCAGGTACCTCTTGAATTTGTTGAGTCCATATTGCACTTGTTACATAGGAAAAGGTTACATGCTGCACTGGTAACAGTGGCTACCTCTGGGAGGGACCGCAGGAAAGGACTTGGTGGGGAGATCTCAAGAGGGACGCTCGCTTTATCTCTATGGTTTGAGTGGTTTATAAACAGAATGCAATATGTATTACCATATGACTTGTAATAAATTTTATTTTTTATTTTTTAACTTAAAATTTAAACAATTTTTTTAATGTTAAGCCTGCATCCCAGGGAGTAACTTAAGAGTTAAATATTGACCCAAAGGGAAAGGGAGACCAAGAGACAGAATCCAGCTTCTGGAAGTCCTCGAGAAAGCTGTTACTGCTGTTCACTGTCTTTAACGGACGCGCTGAAGAGCCTGCTCCAGCACAGTGTTGCCCCCCAACTCCTTAGTTAGCCCGGACAGAGTTGGGTCGATCGTTGCTGCCCCAGCTTTCACTCAGCCTTGACCCCTGGTCTCACCTCCTCTTCGCCCCCCTTGGGTACACCTGCGCATCTGAGGCCCCTCTCTGCTTGCAGTGCTGCCCCCCGCCCAGGCCATCGTGGTTTACACGGACAGGGAGGTCCACGGCGCCGTGGGCTCCCGGGTGACACTGCACTGCTCCTTCTGGTCCAGCGAGTGGGTCTCGGATGACCTCTCCTTTACCTGGCGCTACCAGCCCGAAGGCGGCCGCGATGCCATCTCGGTGAGTGCGGGGGGGGGCGGGTTCTGGCATTGGATAATGAAGGGGGGCTTAGAAGAACACTGGGGGACACTGGGGGGCTCGGTGGTTGAGCATCTGGCTAGGGCCCAGTTCCCGGATGAGTCCCGCATCGGGCTCCCTGCATGGAGCCTGCTTCTCCCTCTGCCTGTGTCTCTGCCTCTCTCTCTGTGTCTCTCATGAATAAATAAACAAAATTAAATAAAAAAGAAGAACAATAGAAAAGAGAACTTGGGCAAAGGAGGGGAAATCCATGACCCTAACTTGGGCAAGGTAAGCGGCAATCTGACCAGGGCCTGTCTACACTGTCTCCCCCACCCCCGACCACCCTCTCCAGCCCAGGATCCCTTACCCTGAGGCTAGACCCACAAACTTCCCCTCATTCCTCATAGATCTTCCACTATGCCAAGGGACAACCCTACATTGACGAGGTGGGGACCTTCAAAGAGCGCATCCAGTGGGTAGGGGACCCTCGCTGGAAGGATGGCTCTATTGTCATACACAACCTGGACTACAGTGACAACGGCACTTTCACCTGCGATGTCAAAAACCCACCAGACATAGTGGGCAAGACTTCTCAGGTCACACTCTACGTCTTTGAGAAAGGTGTGAGGGGCTCTGGGAATATGGGGTGAGGGGTACTGGGGAGGCCTGGGGGGCCCGGGGAAGAGGCTGTGAGCCTGACTGTTGCCCTTCAGGCTCTGGGAGGTGGGGAGCTGCTCACCTCCAGCAGCAGGGAGCAGGCCTGGGGCTAAGGACCAAAGGTGCACGACCCTGCTCACTCCTGTCCTTCTCTTCCCTCCCCTCATAGTGCCAACTAGGTACGGGGTGGTACTGGGAGCCGTGATCGGGGGTGTCATCGGGGTGGTGCTCCTGCTGCTGTTGCTGTTCTATCTGATTCGGTACTGCTGGCTGCGCAGACAGGCGGCCCTGCAGAGGAGGCTCAGGTAAGGGGAGCCTGCCTCCCTCCCTGCACCTCCACCGGCTGCCTGGGCGCGGGGAGCCAAAGGGAAGAGGGCACTGCAGTGGCTCTCCGGAGGGGGCTCTGCCCTTGGGAGGGGGGCACAGCGACAGCCACCCCTTTTCCCTGCAGTGCCATGGAGAAGGGGAAATTGCACAAGGCCGGCAAGGACACGTCTAAGCGCGGCCGCCAGGTTAGTGGGACTTGGGGCCTGGACAAACTGTGGGGCCCCGGGCAGCCCCGGGGGGGGGGACAGGCCCACCAGGCCGGCTAACGGATGGGTGACCCCTGCCCGCAGACGCCAGTGCTGTATGCCATGCTGGATCACAGCAGAAGCACCAAGGCTGCCAGCGAAAAGAAGTCCAAGGGGCTGGGGGAGTCTCGCAAGGATAAGAAATAGCGGTTAGCGGGCCGGGCGGGGGGTCGGGGGCCAGGGGCGGAGCCCAGCAAGGGCTCCCAGGTGGTGGTCATTGAGATGGAGCTACGAAAGGACGAGCAGGGCTCGGAACTCCGGCCTGCGGTCAAGTCCCCCAGCAGGACCAGCCTCAAGAACGCCCTCAAGAACATGATGGGTCTGGACTCAGACAAGTGACCACCCCCAGGCCCGCCAGAGCCGGGACCTAGGCTCAGTCACCCGGCGAGGTGCTCCCCTCCTTAGCCCCAGCCCCGCCCTGCCCTCAGCGCCCAGAGATGTAAGTTTCATTCCAAGGTTCATTGCCAGACGCTTCCTGCCCGCCCCCCTTGGCTCCGCCTTACGGGAGCCCAGGGCTGACCCTACCTACCCTCCCCGGCCCCAAGGACTGTGTGTTTGGTGCCTGTCCCTCCGGCACCGAGAAGAAAGGGACCTTGATACCCCGCGCCTCAGCCCCAGGCCACCTGGCCACGCCATCCCTTGCACCGCGCTGCCTGTCCCCTGTCCCTCCTGCTTTTCTTTCTGACCTGCCCTGTCCCTCCCCTCCATCAGGTGGCCCGTCCCCATACTGTGTTCTCCCGGCTAACACCCGGATCATCCACATCAGACTCTCCTTCAGGGTTTATTTAGGTTGTTAGTTATTTTTTATTTTTTAATCCATCCTTTGTTGTTTATGTACCTGTGTCCTCCCCCCATGACTGAGTACCAATGACGTCATGTGGTTTTTGCAATCCCCCCGCCCCCCCCATTAAATCCTTGATGGAGAGCCAGCCCAAGCAGAGGGGCCCCTGATCCTCAATCCTCAACTATAGGATTGATGCCCCTGACCACTTTGGAGCAGTGTACTGAGACTCAAGGTCATGGGGAAGGACAGACAGAGAGAGACAGAATCCTCACAGGTCAGGGGATCAAGGAAGGGACAAATAAGCCTTAAGAAATGGCTTTTAAACAACCAAACAGAAAGGAAAAACTAATGGGAAATGGGGGGGGGGAGGGGGGAGGCTGCACTCCCAGCCACAGGGGATTGTTAGGATTTTTCTACATTCTGTATATTTCTTCTCAAACCCCCAATGTCCTTAAATGTTTAATAAACACTGACATTTCCAGAAGTACTGCCTCCAGCTCCAGTTTCCTCAGTCTCCTGGGGATATCCCTGCCCCAGTTTCCATCCCCAACCTCCTGCTTTCTCCCACTCCTCTCCCTCAGCAACTGGTTTCAGTTCAGACTTTGGCTCTATGGTATGGACTTCCGTGGTGTAGTGGAAAGAACTCTGAAATCAGCTGACGAGTCATTGAACAAAAATCCCGCGGGTTTATACTCTGGGCTAAACCGTGTGTCAGGCTCCGCATTTACGTGGGTTAAAACAGAGACTCCCTCTTTACCAGGATCTGAATTTTGAAAATATGTCAGCCACTCACTCGCTGTGTGACCCAGGGCTAGTTATTTGACTTTGCTAAGCCTGTTTCTGTATTTATAAACTCCGATGATACTTGTCCTGCTTAATCCCCAGGATTTTTATGAGACCCAAATGAGATCCTGTATATGGAAGCCTTTGTAAATGATAAATTGATGTGCAACTAAGATATTAAGAATCAGTCCTTTAGAGATATTTCTACGTCTTGTTGAAAGGATTACACTTTACGAACTAGTATAAATTCCATTCGGCCCTAGAAAGACACACACACACACACACACACACACACACACACACACACAACTTCAGTTGGTTCACTATTTTAGCTGTGCTGTTAATACCTCATTATCTAGTTTGTTGGTATGCGGATTTAGGTACACCGTTAATATCCTTGGAATACTTAGGTGATTGTGGATGTACACACATATCATTTTCCTGGGGTGGTGGGGAGGGTCATTGATGGCAAAAAAAACCCCAAGAGTCCTACAAGTCATTTCTTTGCCTTGTTCAGAGGTTAAAGATAAGATTTTAAACACCAGCTTTGCCAAAAACCAGAGTACTGTCATTTATTTCAAGGGGTATCTTCCACTTTTTTAAAAAGAAGAATTAGCCCAAATTCATTCTAATATAAAAGCTAATAGATTCCCCTGGGTAAATGCAAACCAAAACTACAATGAGATAACACTTCACACCCACTAGGATGGCTACTCTTGAAAAAACAAAACAAAACAAGTGTTGGAGAGGATGTGGAAAAATTAGAACCTTTGTACACTGTAGGTGAGAATGAAAAATGTTACAGCTCTTGCAGAAAACAGTAAGGAGGTTCCTGAAAAAATTAAATACAAAATTACATCATTCAGAAGTTTTTTTTTTTAAGATTTCATCCATTCATTTGAGAGAGAGAGAGTGGGAGCACTCACAAGTTGGGGGAGGGGCCGAGGGAGAGGGAGAAGCAGACTCTGCACTAAGCAGGAGCAGATCCCTGGACTCCCGGATCATGACCTGAGCCGAGGGAGGATGCTTCACTGACTGAGCCACCCAGAGGCTCCTGTATTTGTTTATTTAAAAAAAAAAATATATATATATATATATATATATATTAGATTGTATTTATTCATGAGAGACAGAAAGAGGCAGAGACATAGGCAGAGGGAGAGGCAGGCTTCCTGCAGGGACACTCAACCACTGAGCCACCCAGGCGTCCCTATTTATTTAAATTAAAGCTGGATTTGATTGTCACAGGGCAACAACCATCATAAGCTGAATGTTGTTTCCCCCTCCCGGGTGAGGCCCACAGTCACACTACTCATTTCCTTACCTGCCTGACCACTCTTAATGTATGAATTTGCTACCCTGCCTCAAAACACCTAAGAAATTGGGCAAATATTTATGTGTGGGAGTGAGGCCTGGGTAGGGAGGCTGCAGGCAGCCTCCACACACACAGCTCTCCACGATTCCTCAAACAGGCCACCAGTCACAGTGCTCGCCTCCAGATAGGTACTCCTCAAAGTCACCCATCGTCCCACTGAATATTCTGTTACCTAAAGACTAAATTGCAAAGGTAACATCTAACAACTTATATGAGAACATAAAACGAGAAGAAAGAGATGAATTAGACGGTTAAATTAGACAAGTAAACATCTAAAACAAACAAATAAAAAATAAGTCAAGTCACTATCGTCCTCATTTCCATAATTGGTCAAGAGGACATAATTGATATTTATGAACTGCTTCCACCACTCATTCTATATTTCCCCTGCCTCAGCCAGAACCTCAGATAGTCGGGGTTCTTCACCTGGTAAAGTGACCACTTTATCACTCCACTGCTGACTCAAGATCTGAGCGCTCAATTGTCCTGCTTTTGTTTGTTTGTTTGTTTTTTGGTTGCTACATTTTTCTATTAACCTTTACTATCAGACGTGGTAGTAGTGGTGCCCAGAGAATCCCCTGGGTTCCAGAAATAGCTCCCTGCTCCCAGGGTGCACCAGCAACCCAAATGTCCCCTAGGTTATCAGGATCAATCACATCAGCCAGCTGAGTAATTCCTGATCCTCTTGGTTCAGTGGTATATAGACTCTCAAGTGACCAGGTGACTGTCTCAGCTTCCAGGTCAATGGAACCATTGTGTTCACTGGTAGAAACACTCTCCCTCTGGAGACTAAGTCTTTCAAACCAGCAGAACTCAAAGTTGCCAAGAGAAACAGAAATTCTGCGGGAGGGTTATTAGGTGTGATAGTGCAAGAGCCACCCTGCTTCCCTGACCTCTGGATCCTATATGCTGGCTCTGGGGAAGACAACACCGTACGGTGGTCTCTGATTCAAAGCAATTGCATCTTCTGAGACAGAATTCCATTCTTTCAGTATTGTCTCCCAAGTGTTGCTATGAGTAGTCTTCAGGAAGCCCTTCCACACTTCAAATAGGCACCTGCCTCCAGGTGATGGGGTAGGTATAGGGTAAGACCACTTAATCCCATGAGCACAACCCCATTATTGCACTTTCTTTGCCATGAAGTAGCTCCTTCGTTAGACTCGATGCTTTAGGGGATGCTACAACCCTGGGTAAGGCACCATGTGAACCCACCGGTGGTGGTGCTGCAGAAGCATTATGAGCAAAGAAGGCAAATCCATGTCCAGAATATGATTATTCCAGCGAGGACAAGCCCATACACCCTCTCTGTGATGAAAGAGATCCAATATAATTAACCTGCCATCAGATGTGTGGCTGACTGCCCCAGGGAATAATACGTACCAGGGACCCAGCGTTGGTCTCTGCTGTTGACAGATTAGCGTTCAGCAATAGTATTAACCAGATTGAACTTAATAAGGAGGAATTCTACATTGTTGAGCTCGTTGGTAGCTTCTGGGCCTACCAACACGGCCACTTTGTTCAAGAGACCATTGGGCAAGCACCAGGGTGAGCACGGAAGGGGCCTTTGATGGGCATTCACAGCCCATTCTCAGCATTCCATTTGCACACCTCTTCCCCAGACTTCCTTGCCACCAATCTTCCAATCCTGTTCTTTCTGGTCTCTGATCACCCAACCAGTTACCATTAGTAACCGCCCTTGAATCAGGGTAGATCTGTCCCTCTGGCCATCGCTCACGCCAGATACCAGATAGTAGATGGCTACTGCTCACCAAGGCTAGTCTTTTTCCTTCACTAAGAGAATTTCCCTTCACCATTGTCCTTCAGTGTCAGTCTTGAGGGAGCTATCATGATATAGCTCTTCACTTTTGAAGATTTGTTTGTTTGTTTGTTTAAAAATCTTTTTTTTAAAAATAATTTATTTATTTATTCCTGAGAGACACAAAGAGACAGGCAGAGGGAGAAGCAGGCTCCCTGTGGGGAACCTGATGTGGGACTTGATCCCAGGACCCCAAGATCACATCCTGAGCCAAAAGCAGATGCTCAACCACTAAGCCACCCAGGTGTCCCCAAAGAATTTTTTTTTTAAGTAGGTTCCACACTGGGCTGGATCTCATGACCCTGAGATCAAGACCTGAGCTGAGATCAAGAGTCAAATGTTTAACTGACTGAGCCACGCAGGCACCCCTGATTTAATGTATTTTTGTCTTAGAAAAATGAAATTAACAAAACAACTATTAAGAAATTAAACTGGGGGGCAGCCCCGGTGGCTCAGCGGTTTAGCGCTGCCTTCAACCCAGGGCGTGATCCTGGAGACCCGGGATCAAGTCCCACGTCGGGCTCCCTGCACGGAGCCTGCTTCTCCTTCTGCCTGTGTCTCTGCCTCTCTCTTGCTCTCTCTGTGTCTCTCATGAATAAATAAATAAAATTTTAAAAAAAGAAAGAGGGATCCCTGGGTGGCGCAGCGGTTTAGCGCCTGCCTTTGGCCCAGGGCGCGATCCTGGAGACCGGGGATCGAATCCCACATCGGGCTCCCAGTGCATGGAGCCTGCTTCTCCCTCTGCCTGTGTCTCTGCCTCTCTCTCTCTCTCTCTCTCTGACTATCATACAGAAATAAATTTTAAAAAAAGAAAGAAATTAAACTGGGGGGGTGGGAGTAGGCAGGTGGCCAGTTAGTTAAGCATCAGACTCTCAACCTAGGCTCAGGGTCTTGGTATCAAGATTGTGAGTTCAAGCCTCGAGCTGGGCTCCATGCTGCATAAGGAGCCTACTTAAAAAAAGAATGATACCAATATAAAATTAACAAGTTTGGGGATCTAATGTACAGCATGGTTAATAGCTAATAATACTGTATCACATGCTTGAATCTTGCTAAGAGACCAGATGTTAAATGTTACCACAAAGAAGAAACGGTAACTGTGTGATGAGAGGAGGACGGTAGCTAATACTATGTTGCTCATCACTTTGCCATGTATCAAATCAACAGGTTGTATACTCTTAACTTATAAAATGTTATGGGTCAATTATATCTCAAAAAAAGCTGGGGAAAAAAGCTATATAAACATCATGTTCTATATTCCTTCCCAGAAGACAGTTTTCCTGCATTGAAATAAATGGAACATGCAATGCTTGCAAAAGTCCTCGTGAGAAATTACAGCTAAAGAGCAGCGTCCTGTCCGTTAGGCCAGGCTCCATCAAGTTATCAGGTTTTACTGGATTTCCTCACTCCTGGTTAGCCGTGCTCAGGAAATAAAAGGAATCAGAACACCTCTGTGGGACGCAGTTACCCAGTGTGGATGAAGCCACACGGGTGTGCTTCCCTCACAAGAGTGGGAAGTCTGGGTGTGAGCAATGGTGTCTGTAGACACACACGCAGACACACACACAGTGAGACACAGGGCAACCTCATAAGCAGAGGGTGATTCTAGTGTGAATGTTGTTCACTATTGCTTTAGGGTAGAATAACCACTCAACAGAATCCGACTCACTTAAATCTCTGTTATTCTAAGAGAAGCACAAGTTAGGAACAGTCCGGAGAAGGAACTCACCCCTGCTTTGTGCAAGACCTCAAACACGCATCGAACCAGACCTGGTGTTATTCCTGCTGTAGCTCTCTGTGACCTGGCCCGGATCACCTGACTTCAAAACCTTGGTTTTGTTAGGTTAATACCTATCCGACGGTGCATTTCCAGGAAGACGTTGATAATATATGTAAACCACATCACTAGGCACTTGACATAGCGTCAAAGTCCTAGCCATGCTAGTGCCTCTTCATTCTCTATTGCCCTCTCTTTTCCTCTCCTTTCAGTTCAAGTGAACCCACACACACACTCTTTGTCCTTGGGTCTGGATCTCAGTCTAGCACTGCTTCACAATTCAG